ACCGGCTTGAGAGATATGTAGCTATAACTATACCGGATTGAGAGACATGTAGCTATAACTATACCGGATTGAGAGACATGTAGCTATAACTATACCGGATTGAGAGACATGTAGCTATAACTATACCGGATTGAGAGACATGTAGCTATAACTATACCGGATTGAGAGACATGTAGTAATAACTGCAGCTATAACTATACTGGCTTGAGAGATATGTAGCTATAACTATACCGGATTGAGAGACATGTAAGTATAATTATACCGGCTTGAGAGATATTTAGCTATAACTATACCGGATTGAGAGACATGTAAGTATAATTATACCGGATTGAGAGATATTTAGCTATAACTATACCGGATTGAGATACATGTAGTAATAACTGTAGCTATAACTATACTGGCTTGAGAGACATGTAGCTATAACTATATCGGATTGAGAGACATGCAGTAATAACTGTAGCTACAACTATACTGGCTTGAGAGACATGTAGCTATAACTATATCGGATTGAGAGACATGTAGTAATAACTATACTGGCTTGAGAGACATGTAGCTATAACTATATCGGATTGAGAGACATGTAGTAATAACTATACTGGCTTGAGAGACATGTAGTAATAACTATACCGGATTGGGAGATATTTAGCTATAACTATACCGGATTGAGAGACATGTAAGTATAACTATACCGGATTGAGAGACATGTAAGTATAATTATACCGGCTTGAGAGATATTTAGCTATAACTATACCGGATTGAGAGACATGTAGTAATAACTGTAGCTATAACTATACCGGATTGAGAGACATGCAGTAATAACTGTAGCTAGAACTATACTGGCTTGAGAGACATGTAGCTATAACTATACCGGAATTAGAAACTTGTAGCAACGAGTAATGCTGCATTGTAGTTAACTTGTATTTACTTGGTGATATGCATCAATGTCATCAATTTAAAGTGATATCCTAGAGGTTAGCGTGCCAGGCTGTGCATATGCGGACTCATCGTTCTCGTCTTGTTATCACACACACACACACACACACACACAAGAAATCGCTCTTCATCCTTTCTTTGGAGACGTGGGTGCGTTAGAAGAGTGGCCGTCAAATCCCATTATTCGGCCATACAAGAATAGCCCAATATTTGACTCTGGGTGCTGTTAATTAACTGCATAGTGGACTATTTGTGCCCACTACGGTATCGAAACCCAATTTTTAGTCCACTGACTTAGCGCTGAGTCAGTGTGGGGCTCTAAACTAGTTATGGCATTGAGTAGCTTCGAGGGAATACAAATAAGGACACAATAAAGTGACACAACTTATATATTTATAAATATTTAATTACCAAGTAATTACAAAATGCAGCCTCAACCACGTGCGCTTGTGGAAGTCCCGCGATTGTACAAGGATTTTTAGCCGCGGCATAACGGCTCATAGAACGGCTCTTTTTTTTAAGTACAAACTTTTGGCTCATAGCTCCGTCATCTCTTGGCCGATTTGAAATCTTATTACAGTTTTCGACTCAGGAGGTCAAACCCTTTCTTCGATCGATGTATTTGACCCCGCCCAAGGTTTCATAGATTAATTTATTCTGTTCCTGCCTAAAAGAATTTCAGGTAGACTGTTAGAGATCCTGATGAATAATAAAAGGGAATCGCGTATACGCTGACGCACAAAAACATAGCTAATAAAAAAAGTGGAAAAAAAGGTCTCATTGATTAATTTACTCTAATCCTGCCTAAAAGAATTTCAAGTTCCGCGGCTATTGAGGATTCCCTTTTGTTTTAAATTCAAGTTGAATTTTACAAGTCTAGTCCTTGGTCTTTTTTTTATTCTAAACTGTTAATTACAGTTGCCATTTCTATTGTATACAGTATTACGTTTAACACTATATTAGCCAAACTCAAAACAGTAGCAACGTTTGGGCCCCCAGTGGCACAGCGGTATGTCTGCGGACTTACAACGCTAGAAACCGGGTTTCGATACCCGTGGTGGGCAGAGCACAGATAGTCCATTGTGTAGCTTTGTGCTTAATTAAAAACAACAACAACAACAACAGCAACGTTTGTGCGCTTAAAGGGAAACCAGGTTTATTTCAGTCTTATAGCTCGTGCACATCCGTAGAAATTAATTAATTGTTGGGTTGAAATGACTGATTATTTACGTTCCTTACAGCCGGTGACAACATATGACACTGCTATAACAAATCTGAAACAGAACCTTTGTGCATTCTTATGAGACCGACGTTAGTCAACTTGGTTCTGCATTTTCCAAACTGTACTTGAAGAGCAGGATTTAATTTCGCTTGATGGCGCTTATTGTTGAGGTTAGTTATGACCTCAAAATCGTCCTGAATGCATATTGCATATCTTTCCTAAAATCTCTGGTACAAAACAGGGATTTCAGGATATATATATGTGTGTGATATAATTTCTTGTTAATTTTTGGAACGAAAAACATCATACAGACATTTTTTTAACTTTTATTTCCCCAGAGACTGGATACATTTCGTTTTGTTTTTGCACATATATTCACCACTCTGGTGAAATTGCAGTTGACTGGAAAGTTTCACTATTATGTTTTTAATAACAGATTAGCATGGGTTAAAACAATATACTGATTACCTGAAAGATTAGTTTGTTTAACTCTATCTTCCCAAACCTATTTTTAAATTAAACATTACAATATTTTAATAGGTATTGTCATTTCTATCATACAATGTTAGTCCTCTCTAATCCAATCATACTTTTCTCGGGCGCGCTATAAGCAGATAAAACAAGTCTCGTTACTTACATGAGCCACTAACAAGAAGAATCAGTCCCACCAGGAATATATTCATCTTAAGATGAGGAGAGTATTATACTGTCTGATGATTCTTCACTAGCAAGTTTCAAACGAGTTCTGACTCCTTAGTCTTGACTCGGCAGTTTTGTACTAAACTTGTAAAGTTTCGACATTTATTGGCGCATCAAGTGCGGCTTCTCATTGGTTCTTTCTTAAAGAAGACGAACATGTTATGGAAAGCTATTGAATTTCCCTTTAGGTCACGTGAACTACTTTCCTGACCTAGTAAGAAAGCTGATGTCGCGAGCGAATATTCAACAACACCTGTTGCCAGTGGATATAGACGTGATTTATTATTCGTGTTATACCAGGAAATGTTACATTTTCACAGCTTTCAACCTCTCTCTCTCTCTTTTGTTACAGACATATATAAATGATTCATTAAAAATTAACGTAATTTATCTTTTTAGAAATCTGCATTTACATGGTAATGAAGAAATTTTCAAATGTGATAGCTAAAGTGCAGCCACGCGAGTTTTTAAAACTTTAATAAATCGAAAATTGTTTATTTTAGTACAAAAAGCTGCAGGGGTAGTATGCAGAGAAAGCAATACCACAAGTAATTTTTACAAAAATCTTCCAAGAACATGCCTGTTAGCGGATATCAAGTCTAAAGAAGACTATAAATTGAATAAAATCCGGAACTACAGCGTATCTTCTGTCATTTTAATGATCTTGATTCTTAAAAGCTAAGATTTAAAAGTTCAGCGATATGCAAGTTTTTGGTTGTTCACGACTAAGTACGAGTACATTCATTCCTTTGCATTAGGAAGATCAAATGCATGATTCGGTAACCAGTTTGACTTCTGTTCGACCTGCTGCAGGTGCATCAGGTCTCTTTAGCTTTGCAGTCAGATTTTCGCATATCGGTGCTGGTTTTGACAAGCACATAGATCTTGGGAACAAAAACACACCCATAAGCTAACCGGTTTTTCAATTTTCAGGTGTTCAGAAGCAAAGTTTTTTATTGGATGTTAATGAGTAAAAGTCCCAGGCCGAAAATATTTCTTAAAATTGTCTTTTCTATTTAAAACCGAAACTAATACCTGAAAGTGTAGGTCTGGTATAGAAATCCGTCGTTGAACTTTCTCGCCCTTACAGCCGTGGGGGCGTTATAATGTGATGATAATTCAATCATTCGCTGGTAAAGAGTAGCTCAAGAGTTGGCGGTGAGTGCTGTTGACTAGCTAGCTGCCTTCTCTCTAGTATAATCACTTCAACATCAGGAAAGGCTATCGCAGATAGCTCTCACATGCCTTTATGTGGAATTCGACAAAAACACAAACTGAATGACTGTTTTAATTCCTTTTCATGATGGTTCTTTGTTGTACTAGGATAAGTATCATTAACCATGGATGTAGTAAGTTGTAGATAAATTTCTCTACCTTTTGTTAAATTCAGTTATGTAATAAATAGTTCAAACAATTTTTATACACTAAATAAAATGGTTAATGACTAATTTACTTTTATAATATTTTGACTGTGACAAAGTAAACTACTGTTGTAAAATAATTGCAGTTACCACCTTCCAAGTTCATTGTTATGGCAACTTGTCATTCCCAGACCCCATTTCCATTTTTTGTTGTTGTAAATCTCGACTCTTTACCAACGATCTAAACTTCTGAAGATAACCAAAGGTATCAACACGATTTCCTTCTGAAATATAAGCCTCTTACACGGTGAGGTTCAAAAGCTATTGTTTTGTACAATTAAACTAACAAGACTCCCAAATAAACAGAATAGAATGTCCTAGATAGTGAAGGATACAGTACACTCTGTCCTTTTATAACTGTTAAAGGTTTAAATCTTCAAATTAAGCTGTATTATAATGCATGTAACAGTATATGGATAATAAGTTAAACTCTGGTACCCGCTTTTATCATAGCAGATTGTATTTCAAAACACTGAGCCTTTCGTGTCAAGTTTTATTTTCTGATTCACAGTTCCCTAAAATTCCAGTCCATGTGAACAAACTTACAAACCGACCCTTTTATTTATGATATTAAAAGCAGAGATTAATCTTATATGCACATATGTACTGAACTAAAAAGTTATAACTTTACGTATAGATAAACCTTATCCTAGTGCATAGAGTAACATAATTTAGGGAAAAGGGATGTCTGTCTGTCTGGGTTGCACTAATCTGACGTAGCTCTATCCATCCTACTATGTAGAATTATACGCATACTTTTCTCTACGTTAAAATACTTATATTTGCGAGCTTTCGACTTTTAACGGAGACTTCATCGGGCAACAATGCACTGAGCGATGTTGCCCGATGAAAGCTCCGGTAAGAGGGCAGAAAGCTCGCAAATAAAAATATTTTAACGTAAAGAAAAGTCCGTGTATAATTCTACATATTAATTTACCTACGTTATGAGTTTTAAAGAACAATCCATGTTACTGTTATTCAATCGATTAAAAACTTGTGTCCCTGAAAGGTGCAAGTATTGAAAATTTTGTTTACAAAAACGTTTGGTAAGAAACTTTTCCGGTATGAATTTGATAGTCCTAACTTTTAGATTGTGGCTTGAAATATCACAACTCTATATATGTAGTCGAATTTCGAAGCGTTCTACTAGTAGAATGATATCGTTTGGGAAAACGGATGTATGTCTGTCCATTACGTATGAATATAGAGAGGAAGACGACGGGCTATCTGTGCTTTGCCCGCCAAGGGTATCGAAATCCGGTTTCTAGCGGTCTGATTCCGAAAACATACTGCTATGCCAATGAAGGGCAAGGAAGAAGAGAAAAAGAAATGGGCAAAAAACAATTATAGGTATAGGTGTAAGTCCTACTAAGAGCGACTCTTATGAATGCATGTTAATTTCTGTGTGTATGTCTTGTTAAAATTTAATAACAAATCTTTTTCTAATTTTTAAATCACAATTTTCATGTAATGTTGTAACATTAAAATGATTTCTTAAAAGCCAATTTTTAGAGCAGTGTTTGTTGTTGTTTCTATGCCAATAATATATATATATATATTACATGTTTATGCTTTAAATGCACGTGCAAGAAGCTGTTTCAGCATGTTGTCATTTGAGTTTCGAATAGGTTTGCTATATAATTCTCTCAAATTGTGTTTACCAATTCAAGTTGAGTTCTGAGAATTCTGTGAACAAGTGCAAACGTTTGAAGGAGGGGGTGTTATAAACAGGGTTGATTAATTAAACCTTTTGAAGGAGGGGTGTTATAAAGTCGTTCGGCTTTTAACAAGTGTATAAACAGAGTTAACTAATTATATCTTTTGAAGGGGGTGTTATAAAGTCGTTCTGCTGTTAACAAGTGTATAAACAGGGTTGATTAATTAAACCTTTTGAAGGAGGGGTGTTATAAAGTCGTTCTGCTGTTAACAATTGTGTATGAACAGGGTTGAATAATTAAACCTTTTGAAGGAGGGGTGTTATAAACTCGTTTTGCTGTTAACAATTGTGTAAACAGAGTTGAATAATTAAACCTTTTGAAGGAGGGGTATTATAAACTCGTTTTGCTGTTAACAAGGTGCGGTAAGTACTCTCAGTATCATCATTGCCGGAAAAGGGTTTTAGTTTTAAAACACCTATTAGAAAGTTTGTTTGTAGTTAAGCACAAAGCTACACAATGGGTTATCTGTGCTCTGCCAACCAGGGGTATCGAAACCCAGCTTCTAGCGTTGTAGCAGACATACCGCTGTGTCACGGGGGGGGGGGGGCTCTATTAGAAAGATCATATCTTGGTGGTGAAGTATTCGAATTTGTTTGGTTGGATAAGAACGTGAATTGAGCAAAGTATCACAACTCGTTGTCGAATTTCGAGACATTCTACTGGCAAATAGTTTAAATGACACGTTGTTTTGGGTTTGTCTGTACGAAAGCAACATAGGGAAGCTCCTTTGTGAAATATTTAGGAAGGGTTTCGTCGTGAATTTTCATCTTTGAATGGCTATGGATATCGAATATTCTTCCTTCGCAAAAACTCGCTCCTCATTTTGGGACCACGGGTGCACTATAAGAGCACTATTCAGGCAGACAAGAGTAGCCCATCAATTGGAGGTGGGTACTGTTGACTTGCTGCCTTTCCAAGTTTATCGATTCGAAATGAGAGTTATGTGCAGGTAACCCTTGGGAAGACTTGCACAAATATTCTGAAACAAACTCACAAAATATCTTTAATAAACAATGATTTCTAGTGAGAAGTAGATGCCGGTGCTGATTGGTACAATTACGGTCACGTGTTAGTATTTCTCGTGTCCTTTATACACTTGTAGAAGTATTCTCAACCAGGAGTTTCATTTTAAAAAGCATCAAAGAACTGTGCTACTTGATTGTTCTGACGTAAGTAGACGATGGTACAAACGACAGGAAACAAAACACAAACGTTATTATTATGTGTGTTATGAGTTTCCGCCACGACCACAGAAAATCAGCAGGAATTATCTTATCTCCATCGTATATCTTATCTTAACCTCTCTGCGCGTAACTGTATGCATTCTCTTTGCATGAACAACATTAGGGCAAGTTATAGCTGCCACAATCCACCGACAGGGGAAGTTTGCTTATCAGATTTTGCTACTTTACGTCATCGTAAAAAACCGGTAATTCCAGTTGAAATGTCGCTTTAGCGAAGAGAGAAATGATATCTTGCTAATTTATACATATTTTTTCTCGCTTTACTCTAACATTGAGTAGGGTCAGAATGTCAACATCAACAAGGCCACCTTCTCTCTCTCTCTCTTCGTTGGATTATCGCCACACATTTCCTTACTTGTGACGGGTTTAAAATAAAATTAACAATACGTATAGGTTATATGTTTCTATGCCTGGATTTATGCTTTCCTATAAGAAATCAAAAGCATGAAAAAATTGAAAGTCATCCCAGAAAGAATAACTCAAAATGTTTACATTCCTGTAAAACAATTCTGGGTTCGATTCTCCGCGATGAACACAGCTCAGACAGCCCATTTATGTAGTTTCGCGCTGAAAAGACCAAAAACTGACTAAGTAATTCCTGTAAAGAAACCCCCCCAGGGGCACAGCGACATGTCTGTGGGCTTACAACGCTAGAAACCGGGTTTCGATACCCGTGGTGGGCAGAGC